GGGGGAAAAAAATCTCACCACTTACATAAAATAATTGGCTTATTACTGCTAGGATAAATTATATAAGGTGTAGAAAGAATTTTATGTTTAATTATAAAGAAGCTTCTTGAAACACATCATTCTTAGATTTCAGAGGTAAGAGAAGTGTCTTTCTAGCTTTGTTTGCCTCTGTCAGCTCTAAGAGAACTGCCCCCTATAGCTCCATGAATGATATCAAGTCCACATGGATTTCAAGCTGTTTTTGTGCTATCCCGGGGCCACCTCTGCCCTCTCCTATTCCCCATCACTCTCTCAAAGCGACCTCTTCTATCAGGCTTTTTACTCCTGCTCTCAGCCTGGTGGCTTTCATTCTCTTCCCCTCCTCAACCCCAAATCCATACCCATGCCCTTGGAATCTAGTTGCGTACTCTATGTACCTGCTTACCTTCCTCACTGGCTGTCAAGAGTTTCTAAGGGGTGATAACCCTGCTGTCTGTTTCTTCTGATTTCCCAAAATATCTGGTATAATATCATTTAAATCGTAATAAAGCACTATTTTGAATAAGGCCCTTTCAGCATACTGCATTTTTGTAGGTATTTGGGTAAGTGGGTTTAATGGACGTTTAAGTTTATTTGGAAGACTGCAGAAAAGACTGCACCTAAAAAAGGTGAGGCGTGTTCATATATGGCTGACTGTGCACTAACTGTACTGCCCAGCCTTATCTTTGGCCCAAATAGCATCAATTTCGGTGTAGACAGTTAAGATAATAGGTAAAGTATTGTCTGCTGAGGGAACATGGGACTCAAAACAGTCCAGACCAACCTATCCCACCGCTCCTTGCAGAATGTACACACTGAGCAAAACAAGATGGGCAGCCCCTTGTAACAAATACTTAACAACAGGATCTAGGTTGAGATAAAAGCACTAGGAATGGCTCTGTTAAGACTGTTTCCAACGTTCTCACAGTAACTAATATACAGCCACTACCTTTATTTCTTGGAGATAATGTGGTAAAAAGACACAAACACCCCTGGCTGGTTTTCCTGAAAAAATATTGGGGGCTCGTCTGGAATTTCCTCTCCAAAGTGAACACTACTTCTACCACTTCCAAGTGGCTGAGCTCCCACAGTCTAGGGTTGTTTGTATCTTCCTTATGTAATCTACAGGGAACAAAGGTAATGGTAAGTTACAGGGAAGGCCAGAGGCAGTTGATGGATCCTTCTTAGCAAGTTTTTATCAAATCCTAGATGCCATCATTGGAGCCTTGATCTTTTCATTGATCACTGATAGTCTCTGTTACCAGGGATTTCTGCCTTGTTCTGTTTAGTGTGTATGCACTGACGTAGAGCAGTGGCATACCATGTTGGTAGGGAGCTTTGGGATGGCTTTGCTCTGGCTGCCTTTAGTCTCAGGCTCTGTTGGTACCGACTATGTCCATCTTCAGTTGCCAATAAAGAAATGAATACCAGGTCACATCAAAATAATCCATTGGAAGTATTTCTGGGAGGTCAAGGTAATGGACTGATTGACAGAAGGTTTCATTGATGTGTTTTTGTGGGTCTCAGTCAACTCTAAGTGTTTGTGTTTCCTTAGAGCATTAAACTCAAGATTCAAAGTCCTGGGCAAGAAAATTTACTCTTTGTTTATTTTGTGGGTGGGCCTTATAATGCTATCTTGCTCAAGGTCAAGGAAACTTTATTAACGGTTTCAACTGTACCGTACTTGCAGGGTAAACCCAAATCCTGCAAGAGGAAATTGGGTGCCTTGTCAGCAAGAGAGAAATCAGTCACTAAATTGTCTTCCAGAAAATTGGAGAGAAAGCATGAGTGAGCAGTATCTAAGAAATAGAGGAAACCACAGGAAAAGGGTGTTACCCTGGCAGAAAACAAGAAATTGCTTAATGATTTTTTTTTGCTATACCCTTTATCTATTTTAAGCTATAACATAATGACATATCAGAAGCTATTAGTCAACCTTGTAAAAACTTGTCTTTTTGGTCAGAGTTGATAGACATGTAAATTTTGTGTTTCAAAGGTTTGTTCTCCTAAATATTTATATTGTGAAAAGAATGCCTCTAGCGTCTATGCTACCTGCTTAATTGTTACCCAAGGCAAGGCAAGGCAAGGCAAGGCAAGGCAAGGGGTGACCAAGGTGTAGGAAGGCTTTCTGACCATCTAGGTTTGCAAATTGTCAAGGGAGGTAACCCTCGCCCTCCCAATCACTTCTTATTTCCCAGAAAATGCTGGATTTGGACAGGCTTCTGTAGCTCTGTGTAAATATGTAGTTTGACTTACCTCTGATTTGAGGATTCCAATAAAGGTCAATCTCTCTTGCATTTGTTTGTGTAAATTCTTAATCTCATGTATTTTTTTTTTCTGTCCTGTGTTAACTAGTTTTGAGAATTAAGACTTTTCATTAAGGAAAATTCTAAACAGGAATGGTAAATTACTAAATTGTTGTTAGACAAGCAGTACATTGTCAAATAGGTACTAGAGAGAGTAACTTCTGATGCAGAGAAGTATCTAATTATTTAAAAGGCTTTCAGTATTATAGAGGTTTGAATTCTGTCTGCGAGCACCATTGTGCAGTTTGAGGTTTCTGGAATTTAGACCCTGCAATTTTGTGTACAGATCATAATAAGATCTTTCAGCTTTCAGTTATTAAATATTGAAAATTCATTTATAAAAATTAGATGAAACAATAGCTTATGGAGTGGTTTGATAAAACCTGCAGGCAGAGGACACTTGTGTTAAACTTGACAATAAATCTCTTCTGTTGGTGAAGAGTCACAGAGGGTGTTGGTTGTCCACTGTGGGGACATGGAAGTCAGGCCTTGTGTCTGCACATGCGTTGTGCAGTAAGCTATTGGAGAAGTTAGAAAAAGACAGAAAATATTTGAAGTTTTTTAAAAGATGATAGCAAAATTTGTTCTTATTTCAAAGTTTCACAATTGAAATTTCCTTTTTTTCTATTGAATGGCATACCAGGTATAATGTTAAATACATAAAGCAGCAGGCATTTTTTCTCTAGTTCATCACTTTAGTAAGAACACTGTAGTATTATCTCTAGGGCTTTTACAAAGTTAAGAGAGCATTTGCATTTTTCTATTTTGAGCATTACTGTAATTATATTTTATCAAATGTACTTTCAGTAACTGGAGGTAGTCATATGATTTTGCCCTTATATTGCTGAATATAGTAAGGTTTATATTTTCTACTATTAAAGCACTGATTAATCATAGATTAAATCTTCCATGATTAGTGTACTACTTTAACCATTTAGGAAAGCATTCCTTTATATGTAAGAGAGATTTTTTTTTCTCTTTTGCCTTTAATTGTTGACAAATTTTTCTGTCTTTTTTAAAGCTCAAAATATGTCCAGAAATAGCCAAGATTAGAAATGTCAAATGACTTCACCGATGAAACAACATACAAACATTCATATTGTGAGAACTCCAAGTCAAAACTGCAATAAAAACTGTTTTAAAACAGTAGATTCGGGAAAACCCAAAAGTTTCACAACACTCCCAGAATTGCTGGGGAAAACATAAATTAGTTCAATCTCTTTTAAGATAATTTGATAATACCAGTTATAATCACGGAGATACATTCTCTGAGACACAGCATTTGCTTTTTAACTAATACCTGGGCAAGTGGCCAAAAAAGGTGTGTAATATGTAAAATTATTCACTGTAGCAATGGATTTCATTGTAAATTGTAGGGAGCTAGTTCAAGTAAGATAAAGCTACTCACACTGGAATATGATAGAGACACAAGATTGAGAATAGTCAAGAGGTATTGATGTGAAAGATCTTGAAGTTGTCAAGTAAAAACAAGACAAACACTAAAGTGTATAGTTTCTATTTTTTATTTTGTATGTGCATGCATGAAGACACTCTAGAAGAATGTTAAACTGAAAACATCAGTTACCAGTGTAGGAGATGGGGACTGGATACATGGGAGACTAAAATTTGTATAATTTTGCCCTTGATTTTTGAACCATAATAATGGCATTCAATAATTAAATAAGTCAATGCATAGTTGGATGATGAGATCTATGTATTTGCATAGATGTATCCCAAAGACTAAGGATACTTCGTATGTCCTAATAGAGATACATTTCCGAGAATGTTCAGCAAATGAAGCAAGGCTGGAGTATGGTGGGTAACATGCTATGTTTTCTTGGAAATAAGGGAAACCTAAGAATGTCTGCTTGGTTTTGTTTGTACATGCATTTAAAAACTCTGAGAGGATGTGGATGTGGCTATTTGGGACCAGTTTCCTTGTCCCAAGGCTTGAGGGAGCTGCTGGCAAGTGACCTTCCAACGAAAGCCTGCTGGAAATAGATGGCATCCTTTAAAAGAAGCCACCTCTCCAAAGCTCACCACCCCTTCCTGGGGTAGCTGCACCCAGTGAATGGTTGGCTTGGGTATGGGCAGGACCAGCTAAGGACAGCTCTGAGGGATCACCTGGAGTCCAGAAGTTCCCTTCTTTATGTTGAAGCTGCCTTTCTCCTGCTGCTACAGGTGTTGTTGACTTGAGGCGTCTCACATAGATTTTCTTGCTAAAAGTTGGCTTCCCGGGAAACCCAAAAACCTTAAACCTAAACTATCTGTGGTTCATTTGTGGTTGAACAGGGATGAGAACAGGCTTGGGAAGGAGGCATTTTTTTTCTGTGCTTTCAAATAATGATAATTATAAAATGTTTTGTGTATGTGCCTACATGATTCATTCAATTAATAAATACAAATTTAAAAGTTTTATTTATTTATGGTCATAAATTTATGATATCAATGATATTTTATTATTTTCTGTGGATGACTTTAGTGAATAAATGAAAATTTAAAAGTTAATTTACTATGTCAATGGTATTCTATTAGTTTCTATAGAGGTCATTAGAGAATCTTTTCTGTTTAATTATGAGCAATTAACCTAAAATTCTGTGCTCTACCACATTCTAAATATGCTCTCCTTCTCTGTTTGGTTTTGTTTAGACCTACAAAGAAACGCTTCCTTGATTTCACCGTACAATGGAGCTGAAAAAATCGCCTGATGGTGGATGGGGCTGGGTGATTGTGTTCGTCTCCTTCTTAACTCAGTTTTTGTGTTATGGATCCCCGTTGGCTGTTGGAGTCTTGTACATAGAGTGGTTGGATGCTTTTGGTGAAGGGAAAGGGAAGACTGCATGGGTTGGATCCCTGGCAAGTGGAGTCGGGTTGATTGCAAGTAAGTGGATAAACCTATGCCTCTTCTTACTCTTTAATCCTTGAATTACATTTAATGTACCATTTATACTGAAGAATGCAGTGTGTATTTTCCTGCCCTCATTGAGATTACAGTAGACTCCTCTCACTGAAATGAATCTGATTAGAAATATAAAAATTCTATTTAATAGTCAATCATTCATTCATTATTCATTATTTACTGCAAATGTCAAGCAGCATCAAACAGTGTTGTGACTGCTGGAGAAGAGAAGAGGTCCAGCAAGCATGTGGTTTCTGATAGACTCACACCTTTGCATGAATATGAATAAATCAGGCAGGGAAAGGCAGCAGCAGCAATTCTGGTATGTCCAAGCTGTGTTGGTGACTAGAGACCAAACAATGTTCTGCCATCAGTCCTTGGAGCATTTTATTGGCTCCGGATTCCTCCTCTCTGGCCCAAGTACTTTGTTGGCAAACACGAGTCCTACAAAACTGGACACATCATAGGAAGAATCAAGTGGGTGGTTTGACTTAGGATGATGATGTTACTAGAGATGTTAAGACAGTGTTACAAGTATGACAGAGATAGGTCATGTGATTTGTCTGTCTCCAAAAATAATATTTTTGGTGAACAATCATATGAGGTAATTGTGATTCCTATTGTCTTTGGAATGAATTGATCATCACTTTTTCTTACTTAGAACAGTTTAAATACAGATGTGATTAGATGCTGATCTAGGTGGGGTCAGTAGCCTTAGGGCCTTTCCCTGTGTGCCATGAACTTTCCTTGATTCCCAGAGCCAATAGCAATCTCTACTTCTGTGGGAAGAAGCAGGTCATCAATGTGGTGATCTGAAGGCATTTTTAATCTTTAAAGTGGTTTTGTCAAAATATGCCCAACACAAAATACATTGGCTATTTCTTCTCTTAAGCACCATCTCTTCTGAATATTATAGAGGACCTCTAAACTAGAAGCAATTGTTTCCAGTTGTTGTATTGCCTTTTGAAATAAATTAACACACACACACACACACACACACACACACACACACACACACACACGAGAAACAAGATTTGGAAAACAATGCTGGATCTTCTGGCCATATCAGATAAGATAACTAAATATAATTAAACAACTGAAAATAATGCTGCCATCAGTACTTCAGGAAAACAGGAAAGGTTTGCCCAAGATTTGTTTGAGAGAGTTGTATAAAGTGGGGGAGGTTTTCAAAGCCTTTAAAAGCACAGATGGGCAATAGCTGAGACGTTGATAACGGGATTTGGAAGTATTGATTTCTCAAAAACAGAAGAAAGAATTGTTTAAATATTAAGATGAATGGAAATATAATTATCTTGGCTTCCAGCAAGGGTCAGAGGAGGATTGAAATGGTAACCTGCAAGTAGTACATGCAAGAGAACAAAGCTTGCTTTTTACCAAGTCTTTCTGGATAGGGGTTGATGGTTGAGGAAGGTTGAGACCGCTTTAAAGAGGAGGCAGCCCTTTTTGCCTTTACATAGGACTGATTACATAATCCACAAGCTTCAACACAAAATGAAAATGCAGAATCGTTGTTTTAAAAGATATAAAGAGTTACAAGACAGAGACAGCAGAACTTTAGACCAAGCACGGAAGCCTTTGTTGAACTGGGCTCCATGCTACTGCAGAGGTCACGTCTCGGGCGAGCCAGTCCTGCATGTTGGGGCTGGAAAGATGGGGAGCTAAGGAGCTACCACTTAGTGTGTGTGTGTGTGTGTGTGTGTGTGTGTGTGTGTGTGTGCGCACTTGAAATATTATTCCCGGGTTTGTGATTCCACTGTTGGCCTGCTTTGGTTCATCATAGCATCCTAGAAGCCTTGGTTGTGTGATGCTACACTTGGTATCTGTAGGGTATTGATCCCAAGACCCAAGTGAGTAGTGAGATCCTTTGGTGCTGAAGTCCCATATGTGAAATGCAGTAGTACTTGCATTCCACCTACACACATCCTTCCATACGCTCTAAACTGTCCTAAGATTATTTACAGCATCTATTATAGTGCAACTGTTGTGTAAATCATTGTTATACCATATTCTTTAAGGAATAGGACAACAAGAGAGTTTGTACACATTAAGTATAGATGCAGCGTTTTTTCAGAGTGTTTTTGATCTGTGGTTAATTGAATCCATGGATTTAGACGTACAAATACAGAGGGGTCAACTCTCTCAGCAAGTGGTGGCTAGCTATGAGTGAACTACATTGATCATCTAGTCTTGACACGTTTTCTAGAGAAACAAGCTGATCAGCATTACTTTGGCAATGGAACAAGTTGAACTCATCTTCGAGAGCCTCATGGTTGACAGTGGTTCTTACTCAGGAAGATAATTGAAATAATCAACAGAAATGGCTCGAAATGTAATTGCTTGGTTTCTACCCTCAGATGTTATAATTTAGTTGGTTTGTAATATGAGCCAGATACGTAGATTTCTTTTTTAAGTTCCAAAATTGATTGTTAGTTGGAAACTAGTAGCTTAAACTCCTCTCTATTTAGATTTCAGTCTTACATTTTTGGTGACTTTCTGCTGTATGATTTGTTTTGATATTTTATTACAATTTATAAGGGGAGCTACTATAGTTTTCTGTTTGGGAGTGGTATTGCTCATGCCACATTAAAAAAAAAAATCATGAAAATAAATTACGTGTCCAGTACCTTTGTTCTGGTAAGGCCCTGGTAAAAAAATATAAATTGATATCTTCATGTTATCTAATGTAAGATGAATCTATATAAGTGTATATGCATATTTAAATACACAGAACTTATAAGATAAGCATAACATATATTCATTATGTAATTGCTATTAAATTCAGTACATATATGCATTATTTGAGCTCTAAAAAAGTCAGTTTGCTACTTATCAATGGATAAGAAATCTAGATTTTAAAAAATATTTATTAATTTTTTTGAAAGAGTTACAGAATGAGAGGATTTCTATCCAGTAGTTCGCTCCCCAGTTGTCTATAATGACCAGCACTGGGCCAGACTTAAGGAGCCAAAATCTTCAACTAGGTCTCCCACATGAGTGGCAGAGACCCAAATACTTTTCTCATCTTCTGCTACTTTTCCCAGTAAGTATCTGAATTAGAAGTAAAGCAGCTGTGGCACAGACTGACACATATGTGGAATGCCATCATGGCAAGTGGCTGCTTTACAGGCTCTGCCACAGTGACAGGTTCAGGAATCTTTATCTTAACTAGCTTCTCAGTTGCAGACTGTGCAATACTTGAGAACCACTATGCTGGGAATTGGACAGTCGAGTTTATGTATCCATTTGATGTGGCTACATTCCCTGGTTATTCAGATATTAGTATGTAAAAGTGTTTTATAAATGGGAGTAAACTCCATGATCAGCTACCTTTCATTATAGGAGTTTAATCTAGGTAGACTTGATTCAGTTTGTTTAAAGTCTCAAGAGCAGAAATGAACTTTCCCAGGAGGAATTCTGCCTGAGGGCTGTGGTTTTGGCCTGTACAGGAAAGTTCCAACTTGCCCTTCCTGGTGGCTTGCCCTGTAAATTTTGAACCTGCCTAGCTAGGCAAATATTACCTGGCCAATTACATATGCTAACTCCCTGCAATATATCTCCTGATGCATATTTCCTATTGTTTTCTCTTGCTATAACCTGACTAATACAGGAGGAATGGAAGAAAGATAACTGAACTGGAAGATGACCTGGTCTTGCTTGTTCTATGATAAGCTAAAGCGCCTTTTGGCTACATGTTGTTTTTCAAATTCAAGGAGAAAGGCAAAGTCATTTTTCAGACAACTGATTTGCTGAAACATCAAGATCTTTTATTGTGTGGTTTTGTATTCAGGCAGCTTTCAAAATTGCCTCTCTTGCTTTTTGTTCTTAACTTCTCCAAAGACCTTCAAACAAATGCAATGAGTCAGTAATCATATTCCCTGGTTAGTAGAGTGAGTCAGTGGAGCCAGCCTCACTTGCTGGAAGAATGGTGAGTGCTGGCAAAGCTAGGCTTGAGTATTACTCCTCAGCGTGTTAACTCCTTCCAGGAGGACTGAGTTCTTGCCTCTCAGATGATTCTGTTGCATTACTCGGTTCCTGATATCCTAGGCAAGTCCAGAACCTGTAAGAATAATGGTCAGGTTTGGGTGAGGCTTTCTATCATTCTGTATGACACCAGCAAGGTGATCAATGTATATGAAATCAACAAGTTGAGTGGTTGTGGCTCCTTAGTGCCTCTCTCTTATGGAGATTAACTGGAGAAAGGAGGGGAGGACCTGCTGGTTTGGAGGAGCCCATGCAAGAGCTGTCTGCATTGCAGTACAGGCATATGGGCCGAGTGGGTCTTTATTGATAAGAAATCCTTGCCACATGGCAGGCCCATGACATGCCTAATGTAATATTTTATTTATTTTTGTATCATCAGCCAGCTTTGGCTTTAGTGCAGCAGACCCAGCCATCCTTCCGCTCGTGGGACTCAAACTTTTGGGAGAAAAATATGTGTGGTAGTTGTGTTTATTTTCAATAATTTTCCCCACATTGACTTAGAGTATGAGAAATTATAAACTGGAAGATCACTTTACCACATATCCACCTCACCCCACATGTAGAAGGCATTTTCATTTCTTTTGTTAACATAACCACATTTCCTGGCTCAGTTTAGTGCTCCATTCCAGCACCCAGGGGTGATATCCCTTTCCTGGGATCTTAAAACACATGCACTGAGCCTCTCCTTTGGTGCTTATTGCCTGTGGTCTTGGGCTTTAGTTTAACTCTTGTGTATGTTTGCCTTGTAGTCCTGGATTGTGTATATATTTCTTCATATTCTTTCCTAACACCTGACTCTAGTGTGGTGCTGACCAATACATCAGACATATATGACTAGGAATAGCTCATTTGAGCTGAGATGTTCTACAGTATAAGAAATACACATTGGATTTTGAGGATCGCTCATTCATGATGGTGAAATGATCATGTTATGGGGATATTTGGTTAAATAAAATGAATTATTAAAATTAATTTCATCT